GAAACACCCAATGTCCAATGTCTATCAATAGGGGACAGCTGGTTAAATCAGTTACAGCCCATTGATACAACGGAACACTATGTAACTGTAAAAGAGAATGAGGGAGCTCTCTGTACTGATATCACACCCATGGATGGGCAAATGGTTAAAAAAGCACCATGCCCAGCAGTGTATAATGTACTTATTGTATACTAGAAAGGGGAAAATAAGACTCTGTGGTTTAATTACTGTAAGTACATAATAAATTCTGGAAGGAACAAGAAAGTGTGGAGTGGAGTGGGAAGAAGTAGGAAGATAAGGAACAAGGATGGGAATAAACATTCCCTGTCTGTATCTTCTTATGCTTTCTGGCTTTCAGATCTGTGAATACATTACCTTTCAAAATATTAATTTTAAAACAGTTTAACAAAACGAAGGTAATCTTGACCAACAGACCTCATAACCCCATTGCCCTAGTACAACGAACATCAGCGTTCTGGCGCCATTTCCCAGTATAAGCACCCACTTCCTACCAGGGGGTTCCCCACTGGGTGCATCTTGTGGGGAGGAGGGGCTTTGCTGGAGGGACCTCCAGTTTCTCAAGTCCTGATCCCAGCCTCCTTCCAGCCAGCTTCCAGCAGGAGGGGACTCTGATGTTTTCTGACTTAGGTAGCAACAGTGAGGTCCAATGGTCAGGCCAGAAGTGTCCAAAACGCAAGCATTATTTCTATTTTTATGTTTTACCTTTTGGTCCTCCCCAGCCATTGTTTTATACTGGTACATACCATCTATTCTGCCTTTATTTTTCTTATGTCAATCTGTAAAGTTATAAGAGCAACAGATAATCACATTTCTAAGACAGCATCTGATAGGAGCATTTTCTATATACAGTTTTCATAGTTGTTTTAGTAGATGTATGAAGTAATAGGTATCTTCTGTACTATGGTATTCAAAATTTTAATGGGAAGAAGCTCAAGGAATCCAAAATTATGAAGACACAAGCTTGCAGCAGTACTATTCATTTCCCAGATTCCATTTTTTAACTATTATTTGTCTTTTAGAGAGATTTTCGTTATAGGGTGCATATGCTCACCAGATAGAGACAGAAAGCAAGAAATCACCTCTCAGGGGAGATAGTCATGCCACAATTCCTTCTCTTCCACTCTCCTCTTAGGATCTTGGGCACATACACACATGCACCCGGCATGAGTTTTAAGCCACTGGGTCCAGGATTCGAACCGTGATCAACTACATGGGAGTCCAGTGATGTAACCACTATGCCATCTGTTGGTTGGCCCCAGATTCTTTTAATCTGTGTAGTTATTTCATTATCTCCCTGTCTACTCCCCAGTATCCTTCCTCTCTCCAGGTTCAGAAGAGGAAGAAGCAAAGTCAGCATGTCCACCTCTGCTCTTTAGAAGCTCTGTTTATAACTGTAACACATTCCCACTTTGATAAATGAACATAATACCCCAAGTGAGGAGCTGAAAGCCAAACTCCCCCACCTCCCTCCTCCAGATGGACCCACTGCCAAGTTTCCCGTGGTTTCTCCTAGGTCAGGGTGTCGCAACTTGGTTGGAAAGTTACAGGGGTGTGAACTATTGCTCCCTCAGCCCTTGGGCCGTCTACAGGACCTGTGGCTGCAAGAGCCCAGGGCTAGTTGCCTGAGACCTGGAGCTGCTTTCTCTGCCTTCTCAGTGGGCCGTACAGCAGCGTTTTCTGAGGGTGCCATGTCAGGAGCACAGTTCCAGAACTACCGTAGCTTCTCATTTCCTCAACATCCTCCCTCTAGAACCCAGTGTGTCCCAGACCCTCCCTAAAGGCTAACTCTGATCACATTGCTGCCCTCTGGTTTCCCACTACCCCATCAAAAAGTCCAAGTTCCTTCGTTTGGGATTTCTGGCAGACTTCTTTTCCTTGCCCGACTTCTCGCTCAAGTTCCTGGAATTCTTTAAGCTCCAAACTAGCCAACCACTTGCTGTTTCCCGAGCAGGGTCAATCTTTCCCGTGTCCCCCCTTTGTCCCTGAGATCCGTCACCTCTGCTAGAAAGTCCTACCCATTTCTGCCTTTCAGTTCAAACAGTAACTTCCTTCCTCTCCCATGTACCCTAGCAGGAACTGAGGGATCATTTTGCTCAAAAATCCAGCAGGCCTGTGTACATCCTCACCAGGACGAGCACAGTGCCTCGCTCACGGAAGGTGCTGATAGATGGGTGCAGGGTTCACAGAGCGATCCCATGCCAATACAAAAAGGCGCTGAGAGTTCTCTTTCGTGTGTGCAAGTGGGAATATCCGTGGTGTGTTTCTAGGAAGTCCTAGAGAAAGAAGGCAAAAACTAAAGTTCAGAGCCATAATTAAGTGGTGAACATTAGTTCAGAGATGTAGAATCTAATCATCTTTAAGCCTCAAAATCAGTTGATAGTCTTCATCTTTTAATCAAGTGAGGGAAATCCAAGAGGAAGGACTCTTCCTGCAGATTCAAATGCTTGGTCGCCTGAGCCCAGCACCATGGCTTCTCTTTCACAGAGACGGAGCAGAGCTAGAGTAGGTCCCCCTTGCTGGTGCTCCCCCACTCTTTCAATATGCCCCCCGCTACTGTTCCAATCACAGGGCTGAGCTGAGGTACTCAGAACACAGACCGCTCCTATCCTAGGCCATAGCTATCTCCCCATGGTAACGTGGAAAAGGAAGTGCTGTGCGTGTGCGCAGCTGGCTGGCAGGTAGTAGCTGTAAATTCTAACCTCCACCTTTGAGCCCTGGATTCTAGCTGCGATGGGGATGACTTAGCTGATAGGTGTCAAAGTAGCATTTGCTGTTTAAAGCATTGCCCTCATTACTCGAATATTTGCAAAGTCAAATCCTAAAGTGTTAGATTAACTAGTCGAAATTCTTTACCTCTGAGACAAGAACAGAAAGTAGGAAGTCAACAAAGATTGGCTCTTTCTTCCTCACGGTGGGACAGAGATTGCATCTTGAGGATAAACTCAGGGAGGACACAGTTCTCTGGGTGCCTGTCACAGGGTCTGCCCACAGTTGCACTTAAGACTGACATAGTGGGCCAGAGGGTGGTGTGGTGGCCAGTGTGCTGGACTCCCACGTGGCCGACCGCAGTTCAAGCCCCAGACTGGCAGCTTGCTTTCTCACTTTCTCTCTGCTTCCCTCTGGTGAATGAGCATGCCCTATAGAAAATTTAAAAATAATCTTAATAATAATAAATAAAATTAAGTAATTCTTAAAAAAGACATGGTAATTGTTGGCAATTAAATTAACGTTAACTAGTTTTTGGCTGCATTTTTACCTGCTCTTGGAGAACTACTGAGACTTGTGATAGTTGGTATCAGTGTCCACCTTTAATCTTTGGACAGACAGAATCAAAAAAGGAAAGCGATCTCAAGTGAAATACCCTTTGGTATTAGAAGACGGTGATATTTTACCTTAAAACAACAAAGAAACATATGAAAACATAACTCTCCAACCAATACAGAATTTATTCCGAAGGATTGGCTTACACTTTTTCCTTGAATCAAGAGTCCGTGATGCTGCGTGAGACCTTTAACCAGATGGTAGGGGGTTTCTATAAACGGAGTAATTTTCATAACATCTATTAAGATGAGATACATAACCCAGGCTACTAAGAATAGTTTTACAACAGGGCGGAGCTTCCCCTAACTTAATGAGGAGGCCCTACATGTACACACAGAGGGAATATTTATGCTGTGCCACCAGAAGCTGGAGTTGTTTTTTTTTTTTAAGAGGTTTTTGCTATAGGGCGCGTGCACTTACCAGACAGACAGAGAGACAGAAAGCAAGAAATCACCCCCCAGAAGGGATGGTCACGCCACAATCCCTTCTCCTCCATTCTCCTCTCGGGATCTTGGGCACGCACGCACATGCGCCCCACATGAGTTTTAAGCCACCAGGTCCGGGACGCGAACCGCGGTTGACTACGTGGGAGTCCAGCGACATAGCCATTACGCCAACTGCTGGTTCCCAAAGCTGGAGTATTATGTGCAGCTTTCAACATGCAGGAGGGCATTACTGATGACCAATGTCCACTGCTGGACTCACAGAAGGGGACCTCATGAGGATCAAAATGCTCACTGGTTAAGACCTTTGATACAGAGGTCAACAGGTAGCAAGGCGGTTAAGATGCTGGACTCCCACTTGGATGACCATGGTTTGAGTTCCAAACACAGCAGCTTGAAAATCATGCTGGGCACGTGCGTACGTGAGATCGAGGTCCCAAGAGGAGAATGGAGGAGAAAGGACTGTGGTGTGGCCATCGCCCTTGGGGTGATTGGTCATTTTCCCTCTCTCTAGCTCTCTCAAGTGCACATGCCTGGCCTATGGCAAAATAAATAAAATTAAATAAAAATAAAAATAAATAAAACAAACCAAAAAACCTCTAATATTCAGTAGAGGCAGTCTAAGTCCTGACTCCCTACTTACAAGTTGCTCTGGACAACATGACTCAGAGCACACCAAATGTGGCTGTCCGCCACCATGAACAATGTCGTGAATCTGATTTTATTGAATGTCTGGCTGTTCACATAGGTCAAAAGTGGACCAGAGAGGGACCAGTAGACGGTGTAATGATTATATTGCTGGCCTCCCATGTACTCGGCTGCAGTTTGAGTCTCGGACAGGGCAGCTTAAAACTCCAGGCACATGTGCGTGTATGCCCAAGATCCTAAGAGGAGAATGAAGGAAAAGGGATTGTGTTGTGGCCATTCCCCTCCCCACCCCACGGGTCATTTCTTGTTCTCTATCGGTCTCTCCAGTGAGTGCACGCACCCTACAGCAAAAATCTCTCTTACAAAAAAGTGGGTCAGAGAAAAAGTTTATGAGGTTCCTCTTGTTAAGAGATCTCACGATAGTCTTTCAGCTTTGTGTCTCTCCCAGCATGTGAAGCGAGTCCACAGGAAGATTCCACAGGAAGATCTTGAGATAAACTCAGCCATCTCATTCCTAGGATTAAAAGAAAGGGGGAGGGAGAAAAAAAGACATCTTGGAATAAGACAGCGTGTCACTGATGCTTTATTTACATGCGTCACCATCTCTTTTACAAACTAGATTACGGTTTTAAATGGAATACACAAGGCAATATCTACAAACACCAAGGAAAGTAAGTACTGCGTCTCTATTTCATTTGGAAAGGGGAAGATTCCCAAATCAAACTGGTTTTGATCCTTGGGAAGAAAGGCGGCAGAGTTCATTCATGGCAACGTACGGTTAGATAAAATCCTCAGTAAGAATGCAATGATAGTGTTCGCTTTGAAAGAAAGGGTGAGGTGCTTCAAACCAAAGTATGAACTGCTAGACTCTTCGGTGTTTGAATATGGCCATGCACCATATTTAATTCTAGTCTGTATGGGGTATGAGCAAGAAATTGAGACAGTAAGACAGTTTTACAGATACTGTATACAGATTTTTTTCATTCATGCAACTTTTTTCTTAAAAAAAGTTAAACATGTGAAGCCAAAATGTACAATACATTTTTTAAAAAATGTTAACTAATTTTTCTGGTCCTCTTTCACATCTGTTTACATTTCCCGTGTACATAATGTGCTAGGACAAGTATACAAGAGAAGACTGATTGATTGCCAGGCAATAAGATAATTTTAGAGAGATAAGTGACCAGACACACAGTTTTTAAAAGCAGCCGCACAAGGATTTCTGGAGTGTGGCAGAGGCCTCATACCCAATCATACATCAAAGAGAAATACGTAAAAATAAAGCTAAACAAGAGGAAAATATTCCACTCATTCAAATTGCATAAAACATTACTCAGTTAAGATTCAGATCAAATATAGTCTTATCAGTTACTTGGGCATCTGCTTTAAGATCTTGCTTGGCAGACACAATTACACAAGAACTTCACTTTTTTCTTGTTGCACCCTGCCTCCCCAGGCTCGAGGAGAGGCTGGCTTTATCGTACCTCTTTATCAGTGATTGCATTTCTACAAAAATTTTGCTTTTATTTTTCCTTATAAAATATGCCTAATCATACGATATTTCCCAAATACAGCAAGAAAGAGAAAAATGGGAGTTTAGAACTGTCAGAACTGTCTCTTTGCTTTAGGGAGAAAGGGTAACATTTTTATTTCCTCTCACCAGTCCTTGGCACCAGCATGGAACAGAGGACTTGCTTTCTAGCTACTTATTCTTGGAGGTCTTTTCCAAGAAACTCAAATGCTCCCTAATCTCTAATTGGGATTTATTAGCCAGTTCTGTCCCTGCCATCCTTAAACTACATCCAAGTTTGGAGCCACCTGAAATCACACCCTGAGATGGGGCATACCTGTCCTGAGTAGTGAGCCATGATGTCTTCTCCTCAGGGTGGGCGAGTGACACACACACAAAGCTAAAAATGAATACCAAAACAAACATGTCTGCCTTACAGTACACGTGTGTGCCCAACTCTCCCATTAACAGGAGATACGAACTTGATTTCTTTAAAAAAAGTGTCTCAGCAGTCATTGTACTGCAGAGGATGCCATAAAAAAGACCAACCTCAGATTCATTCACAGTTAATGGGGTAGAGAGAGCCTGGCAGTCCATTCTCATGCCAGGACAGTGAAGGCTTGTGATAAAGCTCTTTTCTAGCTTTGGTACAAGGTAACAGGCTCTGGGGCTCTAGAGAGAACAGAGCCCCAGAGTGCATGTCATGCACGTCATGCTTTTGACATTAGGTACTCTCCTAATTTTCCATGAAAAAGTAGGCAGCTCTCTAGAGCAGCTATTCTAGAGGCTGAGGATAGCCTCAGACCGTTCTCTCATCAGGACTCACACGTTACAACTACCTGGCCCCCTGAGGCGACTAAGTATTCTGTGAGATGTTCCAGATAAAGAAACATGTTAGGGACCCATGACTCAGAAGGCCTTGTGGTGGCCAATAGTTGGCCTGCCCTGGAAGCAGGTCTCCATGTAAGGCCACACCTCGAGGCAGTCTGACACCTTCGAGCCTGGCCTTTGAGTGGCCAGCTGACATGGGGGGGTGCTGTGATTCAGGACAGGCCTAACCTGGAGACCTTTGCCTGACTCCTCAGGCTGGCTGGCCTAATGGCGCTGATCCCGGCTCTGGACTTTGCCCTGGTCTCACCTCTTCACAACACTTTACATGTAGATGCTGTTTGAGTTATTAAAAAGCAAAACAAAAACAAAACACAAAACTGCACCAAAAACCACACATGCACACACACAAAAAAAACATCAAAGCATTCCCCCTCCATTTTCCTGATCTGTTCTTTGGCTGCCCTGCCTTTCTACCTACTTAGATCTTCCCTCAGCTGTTTCAGATTAAATTATAATCTGGTTCTAGGACATTTTGTAAGACATTCTGCTTGAAGTCCAACAAACACTGGAAAAGAAGAGAATAAATGAGATGCCACATGTCTGAAAGGAATTCAGACTTTAAAATAAGTTGAAACACATTTGAGGGTTTGCCTCATTCCCAAAGCAGCTCCCAAGGTCTATTAAATGGTAAAGGCAAGTAGTTCTTTTGTTAGTCATTTTGCTTGTCTGTCTGAACTCTGGAGAGACATTCTCAGGGCCCTCACACCGGAAGACTCTGGATTCTCCCATGTATCTGACCCCTCTTCACCCCTGTTCCACTGCCTCTGCAATGCCTCCCCATCCGGGGCAGCATCACTCAGGAAGCCAGAGAGGCAGCTCTCTTTCATCCATACTGGACAGTTCTTGTGTGTAGCAGACTATGAAAGAATTAAAGAAGTGGCTAGCATTATTATAAAGGAATACAGTAAGCTAGTCTGACTCACTGACAAGCAGACCACGTGAATTGAATACATATTCTTAAAAATTATACATACTTTTAAAATGAAGATTATAAACGTGTAGCAGTTTAGAAAAGGCAATACGCTACAGGTCTACTAAAACCACAGTTGCACAACAATTTACAGATTCAGTAAAAGGCAGGGCGAAATCAACAGGGCCATCGCTCAAACATGACAACCCAAGCGAGGCAGGAGAGACGTGTGACAATACCAAATGGAACTCTCATTACACTAGGAGCTGTGATCACCACCAGTAGCACCCGCAGAGGAGTTACAAAGCAAAGGTGCACAAGGAGCCCCTTGGGGCTGGTGGTGGGTACGGGGGTTGGGTGGCACATCCGTGTTGGTGCCCACTGCCACAGTGCAAGCATCAGTGAGAACTTAAGCAGGGAAGCCTGTGCTGAAATAGTAGCCTGGATTCCTAATGTCCATGCATAAGGTTCCATTTTTGTACTGTACATGGTAAAATATATTTATACATTTATATGCCTAATGCTTTTTATGCAAAGAAAAAGAGTCTTCATATATCACTTTGGAGAAGTATGCATATGCTGTGCTAATCAGAGCATCGTTACGCCAATTTCACGTGGACCAAAGATGTTCCCAACTGTTCTGTCTACCAAAGAGGGTAACGAATATGATCACACTTTCCAGGTTAAACAGAAAGCACCTATACAGCACCATAACTTTTTGAAAACAAACAAATTTAAAAAATGAAATCCATAGAAGTTAAAAAAAAAAGTAAAAACTGCCCTATCTTGTACTTCCATGGTGTCACTCGTACAATTACAACCTAAATTTATATATATACGTAAAAAATCAGTTTGTATGCTATTCCTCTCACTCATACACTATTAGTAGTAGATCAGATATACAGAGCAAGGCTGAAAATAATTAAGGATGCATATTTAGGAAAAAGTGAAGTTGAACTGCCTTAGCACTGACTTGGGTTTGAACTCCTCACATTCATCACTGCAAGCTTGATGCTCACCTGTAAGTTCATTCCTCCTGCAAAACAAAAACAAGACTATTTTTTTTTCCTTTTCTCTTTAAAACTAAATCCTTTAGTGGCATTTGGCAATGAGTGAATAGCCTAGCTGATTTCTTTCCTGAAAAGATCCAAGTTTCTAACCAACAGACCAACACTGTTCACTGCATTAGCTGAGGATACGGAGGAGCCCACAGGCCCTACAGATCTGGTGACTGCAGACCAGGTGCTGGGCATTGTCCACAGACCACCCTGATTCAGAATTGAAAACACACTGGGTCGGACGCTGTGCTCCACTGGTTTTGCCTATGCATGGTTTCGTCCTGGACCGGTGCTCATAGCAAACAATTGTGCCATTGTTCGGTTTTTAGAAAAGGATAATTTTGTACCAAACAAAAGAAGAAAGAAAATCCCCCTCTAGTTTATGTAATGTGTTAGTTTATGGAGTTCCCTGGGCTCAAAAGCTTGTGATGCCCAGAGCTGGAATGGTAACTGGTATATTTTCACTGTTTTTAAAATTTGCCAAGGGAAGGACGGTTAACATTTTAACAGAAAAATACTGCAAGTTAATGCATGTGAAAAACTTGGAAAGTCAAAGGAAAACAAACACAAAAACAACACTTAACATATCCTATAAACCATCGCGATATTAAAACACCACAGAATCGCCAATGTGCTCTGAACGAGGGTGGGTGGTGCGGACGGGTGCTGTCCTCCACTGGCGGGTGGCTCATCACCCTGTACAAGGAAGATTTTGCATACTTTATAGAGTTCTGTTCCGAGGGTAAGTGCTCCACCCGGGGTAAGGGGCCATTAACAGTCTCTGCTGGGTTAGGAAAATGGCGCGGGGTTCACGAAGGTGTTAAGCTGTAAACGGTATCACTGTCCACTTGCTGAGAGCAGATTTGGCAAAGGGTTTTCTCTGTAGATCTCATGTCAGTTTGAGGGTCTAAAGGAGGAGAAGAGAAAACCAGAGATTATTGAGGGCATTCAAATAGCAACCGTAGGTATGTGGGGTCACACTTCACCAGCCCCAGTCTCCCCACCCCAGCTCAGAGCTTGGAGCACAAGCAGTAAAGTTGTTTTGCTACACAGGTCTTAAAGGTCTGAAGACTGAAGTACAAAGCACAAGGATCACTTACCTTATTTCTTATTTTGTCCTTATTGCAAAATGCTCTCATACTGAAAAGCCCAAAGGAAATGGGATCATTCACTTTGGGAGGCTGTTGATGAAAGTCAAATTGGGGTGTTTCAGTGGGCTCTTTTGAGTTAGGGTTGTCCAGGGGGTAGATGGTGTTTTATTCTAATAGATTTCTGGGTAGAGGGGTTTCCTGGGACATACAACTTCCATGCTTAAGCCAGGAAAGCCGGCCACCCTAAACAGACTAGTTATACTTCTCGGGTTCTGCCCTCCTGGCTATGTGAAGTAAGTGAACTTGTTCAACATCTTTAATACCCCATTAACAGAGGAGATGAAATGGCCACTTTCTACAGAAGCTTAACAAGACTGCACTGCTGGGTGTGCTGAGAATCGGACTTCTCCCACCCTAAGAGGAGGAAGTCATCTCTAAGTGCAACATCTTAGGAATTTGATTTGTTTCCCCCTCCCCCCCTTTATTTTTTTAATTGTCAGAGGGTATGTGCACTCGCCAGAGAGGAATAATGGGGAGAGAGAAAAAGTACTCCCTCCTGGGACATGATCACACTGTAATCCTTTTGGCTCCACATCTCCATCACGCCCAAATTTAGGGCAGGTAAACATATGCACCTGGTGATTTTCAAACTGTGGGACCGGGATTCAAACCACAGTCTGCCACATGGGATCCTGCTTCCTTAACCACTAGGTCACAGGGCTGGCCTAGGAATGTGATTTTATATTTAAAAACCTGTGGAGGGCATACCCCCAGGGGGTAATTTCTCACTTTCCCTCTCAGAATGTTTCTCTCATTCTCCTTTCTGGTGAATGTACACACCCTAACACAAAAACCTAAAAGAAAGAAAAAAGTTGGCAGGGGGCCAGCAGATGGTGTGGTGGTTAAAGCACTGGACTTCCACATGGTCAAATAAGTCCCAGATCTGGTGGCTTGAAAATCACACTGGGCATGTGTGCGTGCATGCCTAAAATTTTGAGAGGAGAATGGAGGAGGAGGGATTGTGGCACCCCTCTGAGAGTTATTTCACGTTCTCTCTTTCTCTGTCTCTGTCTGGTGAGTCTACATACCCTACGGCAAAAACCTTAAAAACAAATCTGCAGAGGAAAAAAAATGTGGTACACGCATATGTCCAGCAAATCTCCCACAAAACATCCCATTAAGAACTAACAGCATTATTACATTGAATAATTATTTTGCTTTCAATGGTCTTCATTGGAAAGGCAAAAAACAGATCTTTTTTAAGAGTATTTGAATTCAGGTCAGACAGATTTCATGTAATCATCAAGTCTGAAAAAGCTAGAGGATGCTTGAGAAGAATACAGAGATGGAGCTAAAGGGATTAACATGACAGTTCCTCAGGACATATGATCTTTTGTTTATGGAGCCAGTATTGACTGTTGTGGCAGAAAGAAAAAAAAATGGCTCTGGGCCAAGAAATGGGTAGAAAAGTGGTAGTGAGCAACAGGCACTCATGATCTTCTTCTTACCACACAAGGTGACAAGAAATTAAAAATGAAGGCACAAACTCTCACACACAAACACGTTGCACGCATCTGTTTCTCCCCCCTTTAGAGGGGACGTACATTTCACACGCGTGATTTCGACTTCCAACCACCTCGTGCGTAGATTGTGACTTCAATCTCTTCCATGGCGCTCTTCTTGCTGGAAATCTACCTTTCACTAGCAATATTTGCAAGGACAGCAGGACTTAGTATTTATGATGTTTTCTACTACGGTCATATTTACCCTTGTTAAAGCACCAGAGGAATTTAGGTTGTTTTATTGGCGGCAGAGACAATAAAGCAGGAAATGAGGCCCCTTCTTCCCACCTACCCCTAGTATTTAGTTTCCCTGGCTTTTTTCAAGTATCGTCTTTGCTTTGTAAAAGTATTGGACAAAATGATCTTAGATTATATAACAATGGCTTGTTGATTTAAGAGGAAGATGGGCCAAAGACCAGACCAGATCTCAGTACTGGTGTGGAACTGAGCCTGTTAGGGCCCGTGGTCTGCTAGCTACTCCACCTGGGATCCTCAAAGCATGATACAGTCCTTTGGAAGGGGATCTGGTTTATTCCCTTCACAAGAACACTTAATAAACCACAACCTAACATCACTATGCAATTGGTCATCAGGGGACTATGGTCCCCAAGTCTCGATCATGACTTACTGTAAATGCCAGGGGAGATGCTGTAAAGTATTACCTAATTCAGACCCCCTCCCCCGGTTCCCCTTGGTGCTAATTATTCAGCCACAAACCCAGTGCGTAATGGAAGGTGACACACTTCATTCCCCAAGTACAGATGTAGGTTATGCAGCTTATTCTCATGCTGGGGCTAGGTCAACACAGGAGGAAGGAGACGGGGGGACCTCTAAACCCCCAGTATGGCACCATTCTAAGAAGAACATGCCATGGGCCCTGAAGAGGTCCACCTGGGTGGTCTAAAGCAATAAGCAACAACAATCCCCAGGCCAAATTCACATCCTTCATCAGAAGACCCAGAATCTTCAGGGAACTTCATCATTAACAAAGAGACACACTAATCCTCTTTCTCTCTCTGCAGAGCAGGTTTGGGACCATCTGTGACACTATGTCTTAGAGCTTGCTCTGAGGTCTCACAGGCAGTGCCCTCCCAGGGAGGTCTGCTCAAGAAACCACCTCGTGCTTAGAGGGTGAGCTCGTAGAAGCCCAGGTCCAGATATAGAGGCAGCTCTTAGGATAAATTTCATACAGAAACCCCCATACCACAGACCAGGAAGGTGACTGGTTTTCTCTGTGATAAAAGGAAAACACTGTGAAACTATAAAGAAACCAGATCAATGCTGAACAGGAATACAATTGTCCTTCTAAGAGGCACACTAGAATCACTGTTCACAATGAAGACCAAGGTAATAAAAATAATCATAAGGAAAGCAGCAACTCATCTGCCGTGGATTTTTTAATGGTTCTTTTGTGGCTCACTGTTTGCACATATTTATCTGACTCAATCACAGACTGAAAACATTAGAGGGAGCACATTGGGCAATGAAAACAAGTGCTGAGCTGGGAACTCAATGATACTTAGTATGAATACAAGTTTCATGGGTTTTAAGGAAGCGCACATCATTCTTACATTGTTTAAAGTATGACACGTATGAACTGATGCCCTTCAAGTTTAAGAACATACCAGATTAAGTAAAACTTTCAGGAGGAAAAGGAAGCATAAGGTTGATGGAATTACAGCTGTTACTTTGCAGTTACTAGGCAATTAACAATTAACATGAAAATGCTGTCCTGTCCCATCAGTGCCTTTCATTAGAGAGAGAAGATGCCCTCTTTCCCCTTCTCTGCCCAATAAGTTAAGTTTGAAATCAGGCTGTTGATGCAAGGAAAATGAAATGGGGAGGCCAAATTAATGAGAAGGCCCATTCTAAAAATATCTATGCATGCTGTCATCTGGTCTCTGGTGAGAGTAAGTCCCTCTATAATCTTGGCATCTGTAGGGAAGACAAGTTTCTGCCTAATTATCACCAGAAAATCACATGATGTTCTAAGAAAGGGAAACACCTCCAAAAACTGTACCCAAAACATCACAGCCCAATCAACTTTAATCTGGGAATAAAACATAAATGTTCCTACTACTGTCCTCCCACAACTTAATGCCACTGTGAAAAACTTGGATTTTTTCAGTAGTGTTTTTATCTTCTTGGCAGAGAAGAGAGGAGCATGACCCCAGTACTAAATATGACATGGAAGAAAAAAGAGATAGTACGCTGAAACCCTCACATCCACAAATCCACGAAGGTTATCGACTATTTTCTTAGCTAGAACTAAATGATGTTTGGAGGAATGTTTGCCTGGAAAATTAAAGTAAAACGTCACTTTTCTTACTCTCTAGAAATAAAGATCACTTAGGCTCAACTCACAGCCCTTGTGAGACAAACAGGGAGGTACCTCTAGGGTAGAGAAGGGATGGATGTTCACAGTCGGACAGGGAAGCCTCACCTGGCATTGGGAGAACAGGTGTGAGTTTTGGAGTTTCAATTTTGCCACCCAAGTACAGAGTGAGGAGATGCCTACCTGCTACCATCTCTGCTTCATCTCAGAAGGATTTAAAGGACACCCAACCCATCATGAGCCACCATCAGCTGCCAGCATCACCAAAGCACTTGTACTTGTTGTTACTCCTGGAAAAACAACATTTTTGCAAGTCTCCAATTAGGTAGCCATGTCTAATTTTGAAGCACCAAAATGGCAGCAGATCCTTGGAGTTCATTTGCACAGGCAAAACATGACACGGCTCAGGAAAACATGCTGAAGGAACCAATACTCTGGCTCAATGTGGCCATATCTTCTAGGTTGGAAGAGCTGACGAAGAGGAGTTAGGGAGGTTTGTAAAAAATCAGCCTAGTGAGGTGGCGTGGTGGTTAAGGTAATGGACTCCCACAAGACCAAAAGTGGTTCGAGTCCCAGACCTGGTGGCTTGAAAATCACACCAGGTACATGTATGTGTGTGTTTGTGCCCAGAATCATGAGAGGAGAATGGAGAAGGGACTATGTCACAGCTATCCCCTCAGGAGGGCGGGAGTAATTTCTCACTTTCCTTCATACTGTCTCTCTGGCCAGCGTATGTGCCCTATGGCAAAGACCTCAACATTTTTTAAAGAACATCAGCCTGGTGGGCACTGACAGCAGGGGCTGGACGGATGGAAGTCCAGCCTTTTGCCTGATGCTAGAGTCATCCTCCATGTCTGCTGGGAGGGAGGGGGGATTAGGACGTACGACTCTACAGAAACCCATTTTGGCAAATGCTGTC